TGTAGTGTCTCTACTTTAAAGAGTCCTCTCCTGCTGATGTTCAGGTGTATATCAGTATGTAGTGTCTCTACTTTAAAGAGTCCTCTCCTGCTGATGTTCAGGTGTATATCAGTATGTAGTGTCTCTACTTTAAAGAGTCCTCTCCTGCTGATGTTCAGGTGTATATCAGTATGTAGTGTCTCTACTTTAAAGAGTCCTCTCCTGCTGATGTTCAGGTGTATATCAGTATGTAGTGTCTCTACTTTAAAGAGTCCTCTCCTGCTGATGTTCAGGTGTATATCAGTATGTAGTGTCTCTACTGGGACATGTCTCCATTCTTTAATGTTCAAAAAGCTCTTTATTTTTCTCATACTGTCTGTGCTGCAGCACCTCTTTTCACCCTCTGTCTGAAACCAGAGCCCAGTCTGCTCTGATTGGTTAGCTGGCCGGCTCTGTTGTGATTGATCTACCGCTTAGAGATGTCCCGCCCCTTAGACTATCATGTACAATGTGTTGGAGCGCTAGCCAATAGGAGTGCAAGTGTTTCAAAGTGATGTCAATATGTCTAGGAAGTAAACACATTTTGCATAGACCATTTATATGCACACAAACCTATATAACAGGAAAGGGAAAAACCTTAAAAAGCATAATGGGGTGTCTTTAACATATTTATATTATATATTTTATTTACAGAATTGAGCGTCTTGAGTTCCTGGATGAGCGCGAGCTGTTGCAACAACTTCTTCAACACTACAGCATCTGCTGGGCCACCAAGGACAAACTCAAACTGGGTAAAAACACATTTTAGATGACCACTCCATTTAAATGAAACAATGTTAACTGGAAATATGAAATGATGACTGCTCAGCGTCATCGGCCACCACTACGGCGCCATGCTGTCCGTTAGTTTATTTACTTAGACTTACTTATATGTGTGAAGCGTTCTATATTTTTCCACCCATCCTCCCAGTGTGAATGCGTGGAGCGGTCATTAACAAGAACAGGTCATGCTCTGTTTCCTCAGGTCTGTCACAGTTGGCGTTTTGAGTGTTAAACGGCTCCTCTGTTGAACATGCTCTACATGTGTGTGCGCCAAAATCAACAAGTGGAGAAGAAGTACGGAGGGAGACACTGGGAAACAGGAAGTACGATTAATCTCGATCAAGCCCTCTCCTTGGAGCTGTTCCGGTGCAAAAACTCCCGCCATCAGCAGAATGTCATTTGTTGAACGTCCTTTTTAAGTGTCAGAAAATAAGAGAAGGAACCGCCTGAGAACCGTGAAGACGTTTGTGTCTCTACTGTAAAATAGTTCAGGTTTGTTTTATTCATTTGTTTACAGGCAGATGTTGTCTGTGATTGAGCACTTATATAAAAATAGGATTTCAAACCCTGCTCACATGAGTTGAAAATGAATGAAAATATGTTTTCAGATGCCATTTATTTGGCCTTTTCTGTTTTTTCCATGTGCCATTTTTGTTTTATTTATTCATCAATTCTACTTCCAGGATCATTTCAATACAACACATGCAGGTGATAGACGTTAAGAAATGCAATACATCGCAACTAATAGTTCATTTACATTTCCCCGCATTATTTGTTCTATTCTTGCGCCCTGTTTCAAGCAGGAAAAAGGACATGAGGGATTAGTTTGTGAAAGAGTTTTTGATGAAAGCGGGTTAAGTGCAGTTGAATAAAAGCTTTTTGTGTAATGCTGTTTTGGTCTGTTCATTTATTTATTATTATAAACAATTATTACTGATTATCTGCAGTGGGAGGGACAAGCTGACGTCATTAAAAGCTGTATGAATGTTAAAGTCTTTATAGTCATACTGTGTGAACTATAAACTAAACTGTATTATAAGGCCATTACTTCATGGAAGAATCCATCTTTATATTCAGCCCAGATTTCAAAACCGCCTCAATTGATATGTCTTTATTAACAGATTAAATTACTCATATGGGAAAGGTTTGCTTGCAATCGGACTCCTAAAACTTTATTGATATCTGTGGAAAACTTGAATAACATTACAGTCGCTGCAATTCTGCAATATAAATATTCGTTAACATATAAGAGAAATGACTGTAGGTCAAATGTATGTGAAACATGTAAGTAAACATTTGTAATATAGCAACATTAAAAAGTAAAAATCTGTATAACTGTGTAGAAATTATGCTGAAATGCGATAAACGGTATAGAAATACATATTTTGAAGCAATAATAAAATTATCATCTGAATCTGCAGTTTTCTTTATTTCAAAAGAGCTTTGTAGCATTATTCAGACGAGTTTTAGTTCATCAGTCGAAAATGTATTGCATTTTCTCAGCGCTGATTTGTCTATGCTAACGCTGCTAACTCGATGGGTAAAATGTTTGCTAACATGTTAAATGTAATTGTTGGTACTTTACTTGACTTTTTCCTTCTTTATACCTCAACTCCACTGCTGTTATTTGATGTTACTTTTAAAGTATCAATATAACATATGAGTTAACTGATCAATTAGGATGTTTAGCTTCTTTATTTAGCTAAACATCAGTAATTAACATTAGCATTAGTTTTCGGACAGAAACTTGTTTTGGTTGACTCCCACCGCTCTCATCGCTAGCTGTTTTCCCTAAAAACTGAAAGCATTTGATTTTTCCTGACACTGAAGATCCGACTGGAAAATGATGCAACTAGCTGGTGAACAATGGAGGAATAAACCTTTTAGATATGGAAGAGGAGGAGACCAAAAGCAGGGGAAAAAGCAGGTAAAGAAACACAACTCCAGTAGCCTGTTGTGCTAATTTTGCTAGCCGGTCGGATATGTTTGCTAACATAGCCTATTAGTACTTCACTTGATAATTTCCCTTTTATGCTAAAACTCCATCAACTTTACTACATTTATTTGATATTACATTGCATTTAGCTGACGCTTTTATCCAAAGCGACTTACAATAAGTGCATTCGACCAAGAAGATACAACCTTGAAGAAAACAGAATCATATAAGTACATCAGGTTTCATAGAGCCAAACATTTCAAGTGCTACTCAACTGGCTTTAGATAAGCCAGTCCTTTATTAGTATATAAGTGCTTTGTTAGTAATTATATCGCTCGGAGTGGAGTCGAAAGAGATGAGTTTTCAGTCTGCGCCGGAAGATGTGCAAGCTTTCTGCTGCCCTGATGTCAATGGGGAGCTCATTCCACCATTTTGGAGCCAGGATAGCAAACCCACGTGTTTTTGCGGATGGGAACTCCCTCGCAGTGAGGGTGCAGCGAGCTGTTTGGCTGATGCGGAGTGCACGTGCTGGGGTGTACGGTTTAACCATGTCCTAGATGTAGGAAGCAGAGGCGTCAATTGGGTATGGCAAGGTATGGCAGCTGCCACACCTTGGCT